ATACCATGGAGAAGGAAATTGTTGATTACAATAATATGAAAAAATTTACCACTGCAAATGAAGTTCAATCAAGAGAGAAAAAGTTAACTTTAGTCTTCGCCCTCTGTGACCAAATTTGCTGACTGTTAAACTGCGATCGACAACTGGCTCGGTTTTCGACGTTCATAATCTAGTTCCCTCAACAATAGCAAACCCGGCAATCTGGAATAAATCATAAAGCATGCAGAGACGAAACTGAGTCTCGCGCCCTCCTCTCTTTATCCGGGAGAAAAAGCATATTGTGTATTCTCCTACTCTGTTCAATGTACTACCTTTGTGACTTTACAAACTGCACAGTGAGCGAAAATATGCGTTTTGTGATAATTGATGGATTGGGTATTATTTGACTGAACCAACACCACAGGACGAACCATCAATGGTTAAATTGATCGATTTGAACTTTGTCCGATTGTCAGCCGATTGTATAGAGTCCTCACAGAGTTGATACAACATCACGTGAACCCAAAACGCTGGAATGTCCAATACGTGGGTCTGAAGGACAATGGTTGACCTTGTATGAGGATATCCATATTCGGGGTAAAGTTTCTGCTCCACTGAAGATTTGTAAATAACAACTATTTTCGAGTTGCAGCTGTTCATGTTTTTGAAATTGGGTTATCGTGCACAGGATAAATTAACTGTAGTTATTTGATTTCGTTTTTCATTCTTATACAAAAGAAATTTCACCTGAGCGATGGCATTTGTGAGAAAAATAAAAAGCGATAGTCAGAAACTAAATAGTACAAATCTTATATTATAAAAAGAATTGGACTGAGAAATCGGACAGAAGCTGGTAAGTTAGTATCATGCTCATCATCTGCAATTCAGCAGCTGTTTTGTGATAAAAGATAGCAGAAGCTTCCGGACCGAATACTTACAAATCAGGCTAAGGAATTCCATCTTACTTTATTCCGACTGGCGCTCTCAGATATATAATCATATAGGTTGGCGTGAGGTCACTTTATTCAGAATCCATTAAGTTCTGTGTGTAATGAGGATTGCTGAAGTAATTACTTTGGTTGCAGGGGGGGGGGCTAGAAAATTAAAATCCTCTCGTTAAGAATGTGACTAAAATTTTACGAACTCAGCTCGATCGTTCATAAACGTCCTTCAAAATTTTTAGTCACATGTGACTTCGCCCACATAGCCGGATAGGAGACTGAAAATCATCTATATCCATACAGCTGATCCCAACGTAGGCTAATTTTTTTTAACTGAAAGAGGGTTTGGTAAACGCGGGGTAATAATATATAAATACGTATATATTTATATATAAACATCAGGAACCGCCCAAAGACCGCCTTACAAATCAGAGTAGACACTAGCACGAACAGAAATATATAAAAAATTCTATCTTTTCTTGTGGTTGACACACTGACCATCTCAAAAATAATTAGAGGTCTCAGTACGGATTCTAAGTCCTTATTCTCCTTCATTTGTTCAAGTTGAACTATCACTGAACAGGCTAACCTATATTTAACACCAATTCAGGGTAGCAATAGTACATACAGTCTATGGAAAGCCCAAGTTCACGAAGAAAACTTCATGAGATTTTTGTGTGAACTTAACGAAACACTTGAGGTCACAAAAAGCGCACCACTTTCTGAACGTGACACAATACACTAATTGTTAGCACATTTCAAAATCCCTCTTCTTCCGTCTGATTAGCGCGGAATTTAACTTCACTGCAGAAGTAGAATGTTTTACATTGCCCAACGAATTGATTTTGCGTAGGGAAAATCGGGCTGAGTGCATTCTTTGACAAGTTAATATGCCTTCATCAATACACAAAAAAGACACGTTACGGCGTGGTAATATACCGCTCAATGGCCTCAACAACGGACGCAAAACAAAATTAAAACACATTGCACGTGGCGTCGATTGATATCGCCGAACGGACTTGTACACATAGAGGGGGGACTGAGAAAATTAGAAAGAGAAAGAAAACACCCACCGCAAATGAACTAATTGTGTCAATAACCTGTGCACCCATTAAATGAAAGTATTTTGTTGGAAAAATAACGATTCCCCAAATATCGAAAGTTTTACTTTGCGATTGCGTAATAGTGGTTTAAAAGATAAAGCGAGAATAACTATGCGATTGGTTGTCATGATGTGTTGTGCAATAATATGATCCCGGTTCTTTTTTCTGTAACCACCCGACTATCAGGTGTGAGTGTGTCCTCAGCTTTGACAACCACTTTGAAATCTGTTTGATCAGTGGTTTTAATAGCTGAAAATGTTTTCTGCGTCACCGCAATTGCATGTGGACTGACGAGCACAGTGAGTGAAAGAGACGAAACTTGCTTTCTAACCGTGTTTATATCTGTCAAAATCAACTCCACGGGTAGAGACTGGAAGTCTGAGCTGAGCAGCTGAGAATGGGCGATCTAAGGAACTAACTCCAACTTTTCGTGCCAATTGTTTAGAAGTTAGCTTAATATAGACAGGTTTCGGGAACACAATTTCCTATGGAGAGCAGTTTTCTACACGTAATTCGGACGGATCACATGGATAGATAGCTTGCGAAACACAGTTCCTCTGCTAAAACAAAATTCCCGAGCGTCTCTCAAATCGCTACTGGCAATCGATAATCTTTGCTCAGTGCTCCAACTTGTTGAGCGTATGTATACCTAAAGCATGTTATCCTGCGTACTTTATTCTAAGGACACTCACTCACCAAAATTTTCACGTTTTTGAGACCTCCGAGTCGGTACGTCGTACAGATACAAGTGCCCGTTCAAATGTATGTAGTTTGCTACTCATGTTTGAAAACACCTGATGGCAGTGTATTTACAAATCGAATCTAGGCAACCAGGATGACATTAATCGATTGCGCCTGAACAGTTTTTTTTTCACACCCTAAAAGTTTACCATATGTTAGCACATATGAACTTAGTTTATCGACAAACTTGGTGGTATTTAAACCTCGGAAAAAAGTAAATAAGAATGTACTCCTACCAACTAGTAGGTTTTATTCAAGTTTGATATTTGACTTCAAATTAATCCATTTTCGCGTTTGGTATGGTCTCTGAGAAACCGAATCGAAGGTGTTGGAACGAAATATAGAAGTAGTTCATATCCAAGCAGAACAGTCCCGAAAACAAGGAGGAATGTAATTTAAAAAAAAGAAATTTAGTAGAGTATTTCGATTCTCTTTTTAACCTAATGCCACAAAACGAAGCAAATGTAACCGAAACAACGGAAGTGACGCTAATTTTTTATATTTATCCTCTTTGCCATGTGTTTTACTGAAATAGCTTCATAAATTATAGTATACTATTATTATTGAAGTGCGTTTTCTTTAGCAAAAGTTTGAGATTAGGGGACGAGGAGAAATAGAGGTTGCTTATACATTGATTGACAGAACTGTGGTGGGACAATATATACAAAGATGGAGAAAGGTGATTGAGTGAAGAACAGTGCGGGAGATCAACCAGGCCAGTGAAACGGTTTTGCTCAACAGAAAACCATGGGACCTTAGCACACATTATCCTGCATCATTGTAACTCATGCGATCATACTACCATACGTGCGCTGTGTTACGAAGACAACTGTTGTCCTCTGAGTGTTGAAGTATAGGGATGTCTTCCGAGGTTCGGATCGACTATGCGTTGCGTTATTCACTGCTCTCGTGTACCACAAGAAAAGACGTTCCAGAATGACTGTCGCGAATCCAGCTTCCGCTGTTGAGCTGCAACAATTTTGTTTATTTTATATATGCGGACAGTTTTCAATTAGATTAAGGCTTGTCGGGTGCGGTACGCGGTTTTCGAACAGATTTGTAAGTCAATCTACCCCACCAGATTCCTGTGTCTACTTCTTGTTGAAAGCTGTTATCCTGTTGCAATAAACCTCTTGTATAGGCCAATTGTGTCCAGTTATTTGAAGCAAGAACTAACTCTATTTGAACTTTGTAGTCCTCGAAAACGGTACGTCATCCCCATACTCAGTTTCGACAAATCAGTGACTTACCACGCTTCAGATTGTCTAACACTTTTGGATAATACAGTACTGTTTCAGTGGCTTTATAAACCTTTATTGAAATACCGCTTTTTCTTGACCGCTTGACACAGGTCCAGTCAATTTTGTCCGTGCCTTCTACAAATCCGAAATGCATTTTCGGTTTTCCGTGATCGAATGACCTTTCATTCGAACGGAGTTCAAGTTCTGATTGTAATCAATCATTCTTTTTTCTATCCCTAATATTTTCCCTTCATGGTCTTCTATCATTTGAAAACCATTACCAAGCGTAACTTTTATTAAATAATAGACAGTATAAATGTTTTTCTTGATCTAATGATATCCTCCGGTCGGGGCATCTGGACAAAGCAAAAAAGATTTTTCTCAGCTACATAGTAATTCTGTGGAGATGAATTGTTTGGATAAGAATTTCTTTTTTATTGTTTACCTACTCCAATGTTTAACTGACAAATTAAGAACAAATTTTTGTTCATGAGAAGTGGTCACCGAAGAAGATTTCACCGGGTCGAATGACGTGGTGGCTTTGATCGAATTTCAACACAATCTGTATGGCAAAAAAATTTGTTGATTAACTCCGTGTACGAAGAACCACACACATTATGTTGGACTGAACAAAATCATATTATTTTTGACCGTGGCCTCGAATATAATTTTTGTCCCGTTTTCTACACGTAAATACTTGCATAGATAAAAGCAAATAAAATACACCCCGGTGACGAACGCAACGTATGCTATTCTAACAACACTTCACAACCGATTTTCTTGCCTAAAATCTACCCCCAACTAAGGCGAAAAGTGTTCCCAATCCACGAATTTGGATCAAACCTATCCGGTTAGCTGCGTGTGCTCACGATAGTTATTGAAATTCCATTCTGGATGTGATCATGTTATACTCAAACGCCGATCTGTCACGAGCGTATGTTGCCCTAGGTCTTTATTATTGCTTAATTTCACGTCTGCCACTTACCCCTTTTCAGACGTTATTCAAAACCTGGTTCAATGTGACCGTTCATACCTATGAACGACCACAAATTGCGAGGTTCGGAACAAAACTTTATCCGCCCAATCCTGTACCACCGAACTCGACCAGTGCTCCTTTGCACCAGGTAGTTCTGACGGATTCCGATGCTAAGTAAGTTTCTGTTGTTGATATGTAGCATGAGCTATCCTATAGTAAGTAGTATATCAATGAGTGGTTAAACATTTTCTCACTAGTACAAGGTCGCCTTCACCGGTCCATCCGGCAACTAATCAAACCGGTCTTGTCATAACTGATATATACGTTTGTGAACTTGTTGCGGGCATCACAACCCGTTCACATCAGGAGTAGCCTGCAGATTGATGACTTTGTCCCAGTCATTCCAAACCCGACTACTTATTACATGAGATAAGATCCTATTTGGAAGTGAGATCCTGGGTTCAACACTCAGTTGATTGGGTGGATCTGCATTTTTGATGAGACCCGAAGGACTTAAAACCGCCCTCCGATTCTTCCTAGTTTTTTTCCAGTTTACGCCTCATTTGCTCTCAGCACAGCAAAATTCACAACACAAGCTATTGGAATCCTCCACCATTCTAGGTTAAATTGTACTTATTGGCAGGATAGTAGTAATAATGTAAGAGGACGAAAAACGTTGTTGTGTACCATTCTCAGTGTTTTTGTTCACCCTCTCGAATAGACTGAAATAGACACGGAAAAGCCGCGCAAAACAAGTGCGTTCTTCTGCTCTAAACCTCTAAATTGCTCTAAATTGCAAGCGCTCTATCACAGTGGATTATGGAAAACCAAATACGAAATACAAGCAAGCGAATCGTGTCTGAAACAAATATAACCCCTTTTATTAAAGTGGAGCAAGAAACTACAGTATTGATGCTTATCTAGCTCATATAAAGTGCCAGTTTACAATCCAAAGAACAGTGTGAAGTAAGGTGCATGAAAAATGTTTAACACGTTCTCGTTCATCTAAAATTTTCACGAAGTTTCACATTGCATCAAATTATGATGCATCATGTCTTGTCCTCTCACTATCACGAGCAATGGTATGCGGATGTGAAGTTCTCTCGGGGTCAAATCGATTCTACCCTCGAAAAGGTACCTGCCGGTTTGCGAACTATGCTTGACACATTCATTAATCGAATAATAAACACAACCACAGTGATCAAATGTAATCATCTATATTGTTTGGCACTAAAGAAGATGGGTCAGGCACATTTACAATCAGATTCCAGATTGTCTTAATTTCCCATATTTCAACAACACATTAATTGGGATAAAATTGATTTCGTCAAGTGAATTACTAAATCTATATTGATTCGTATCTCACTCAATCACTTACTTGTGAGTTGTTGCGTGGGATAAATCTGATTGATTTGAACTGATCACCGTTCATAATCCATCTTCATTCACCATCCTCGGTCTATCAAGTCAAAAATACATTCGCAAAGCACTGAAATCGTGTTTCGCTCTCATCAGGCCCCATCAGTAGTNGCCCCATCAGTAGTACATATCTACTGTCCTGTCCGGGCTTTAAATTTCGGAATCAGCGCAGGCAAGGCACACGTTTTACTTCTGTGCCAATCATTTCACATGAGGGCTGACCAGCATCACGGAGTCATGTTTGTTCAAATGTCGTCTTCAGAGATAGCCAGTCATTTCCCTTGTCCCGGCGGCAAATTTTTTTAGTGAGTGAACGTATACACGTCTTTGGAATACAATGAAGAAAATTAAACTTCAGTTTTACAGATGTACGTTGTATTAGGTCTCACAATTTTTGAATCAAACAATGTGCTGGGGTAGAGGCATCTCAGTATTCAACTGAATACAAATTACCATTTGTTTTTGTGTTTTACAACCAACTGTGGCAACCAGAATGCCAACTGAACGGGTTTTATCTTCTCTCAATTTGCATTGAATCAATTTCGTTCGTTTGCTCCGGTTCTTGCTGTTGTTATTGTTATTTGTGTGCATGCTCCAATTTGTTTCAAAACCCGGTGTTCTTTGTCCGAAAAAAAGTCGGTCATGTTGTTTGTAACTGACGTAACTGTTTGGCTTTTGCGGGGTTTAAATCCGTGGTACTCCTTCCTAGTCGATCCAAGTGCGTTTTAAATAATGCGGTCACAGTGTTGTTTATCAAAGCTCTAATTAAAGAGATGCGTATGGGTGCGAATTAATTTGTAAAAGAGTAGATCGGTTTCCATTAGTTCTACAATGCACAAAACAACAACACGATTGATCAAACCTAAAAGTGTATGTGTACAACCGATTGCTTGTGCATCACTCCTCTGCACACCGAATGGTCATGCGTGTACTGACTATATTTTGCTCTGGGGGGGACATACTTTGAATTATAGGTGAGTGCTCAGCACACAACCGACTGTCATTATCAGACACTCGGTGTAGGCAAACAGGTTTTGATGTCCATTGAGGGATATTTTCTGCCTCAAATTTGCCACAGTCAAAAGAGTCATGGTGCTTGATAAACTTGTGACCATGGGTTTTGTTGTAATTCATTTATTTGGTTGAAATTCTTTTCCGTGAGAACATTGTAATGTTTCAAGCCTTTTTAACATGCTGCAGCTTGTGAATTTCTGGCGGACGACGTTAAGAGTACGTTTTATTCCAATAACTAATTACAGTAGAGTGGATAGAAACGATTTTTTTGTTGAGATTCCAACGGACGCGTTGATAACTTTGGTTATCAATAATTAGATGTACATTTATTTCAAAAGAAAAGACCATTGTGCAATACTGCATGACTTATGTCCAGGACGATTTCGTTGCATCTCAACAGGATACATACTGCAGGAAGTACAATATTTGTATAGGGATCTAGCATAGCAACAAAGAGCAAAATACAATAAAAACAGACAAACATAAAAGGGGGAGAGGTAAAAGAATTATGTCACCAGGGTAAGGATAAACTAACATAAAGTTATTTCTGTTTACACAAGTGGGGCTTCCATCGGCTGATAGCAATCGCTTCTGCAAACTTTAGCAATCTTGCGAGTCGTGACTTGTGGATAATCCGAAACGCTGTGCTTCGGTCGATCTGGTGTTTTTTGTCATCAGAAGATGTCGAGCTGTGGTTGATGATGGAGCCTTGAAGTTTCTACCGTTGTTTCTATGCCGCGGAATTGACCCGGATTGCGCCATCTGACTTTGGACCCAATTCGGAATATGTTAAGTCACCCAGTTACGTAATTGTCGCTCTGTTCTGCCCACGTAGGTCGCTCTGCATCCACGTTGGAATGGGTAGATCAGATTAGAGTTGGCGTACAGAGGCAGACGTTCTTTTACCGGGGGTGTGGGTATTCTATAGTTGTCCGATAGACGATTTGGGGGTCAACTGCATAACAGGTTAGAGTGATTGCCGATCTCAGTCGTTTTTTTAGCAAACAGTATACGTCATCACCTTTGAATTGGAGGCACAACATGACTCGTAAATTTGGAGCGGACGCAACCGTTTCTTTTACAATTCTTGGATTGATATGTTTACTAACGAACTCTTCGAGGTAAGCGTTTTCTGCTAACATCTCCCGAAGGTCTTGTAGTTCTTGTTCAATTTCATCTTCCGTGCAGATTCGCCTTGCTCTGTCGAACAGCTTCCGAACAAGACCACTTTTATACTCCAGGGGCACAAAGCTGTCCAAGTGTAAATATTGGCCTATTCAAGTCTCCTTTTGGTAAACGAATCGGGTGATCGTTCCATCTTCTCTTCGCCTTATGCTGATGTCAAGGAAATTTAGTGTGTCGTTGGCTGCGGATTCCATTGTGGAGCGAATATTTGGATGTAATCTATTAAGTTCATCCAGAATTACTGTAGCTTCTTCTAGGCTTTCTGTTATTAGAGGGGTGTCGTCAACGTATCCTTTGTAAAGGACGGTACGTTGTAGAATGTTATTTGCCTTGTGTTCGAAATGTGCCATAAACAAGTCTGCCAGGACTGGGCCTAGCGAGCATTCTATAACGACACTATCAATTTACCTGTACACATTTCCTTGAAATGCGAAAGACAAACTAGTTGTGCAGAGTAGCAATAAATGCTCAAGGATATTCATGTCATTGTTATTTTTATTTTTATGTATTACCACTAGTTTTGATTTGATATTAAATCAGAAGAACAGATTTTAGATGAGCATAAACTGTCTCATCATGAATTTTGGTATTAAGTGGCGGGTTTGATTTTGTAGTTCTAGTCTCTCCAATTTAACGTATGTTATGAAAGTCCGAGGAGGTCAGTGCGGGGCAGGATGATGAACTAACTGCCTGTGTGTCATAATTTCCAGTGACAGAAATGTACCGAAAAATTACGAACCTGAATGTTTTGTTGCAATCTCGTTAAGGACGAATGTCATTGGATACAGAGCCAGGGGAACTTGAAACGAAAGCTAGGAAGCGCCATGATGCAACTGTTCAATCGTTTTCCGGTTTCAACAACAATACGAATCCACAAACCCAGATTAGACTAATAATAAGAAATAATAAAACCGAATATTCTGATCATGATGTGATCAGTCACTTCGTTGATAGTATAAATAACATTCTTAATTCCCGTGATCCATATTGTTCTCCCGCTGCTCCATCGCATCCTCCCCCTCACATTCACCAACCCCACACGTGGACCATACTCAGTGGACACAGACTGACAATGTTTGTGCGCTGGTATTGTGCTCCCGGATCTTTTGGTGTCCAGTGTGAAAATCCGTGCACAGAAACATGGTGCTCTACGAGCACGTCTTTGATCGGTCAGTCCTCCTCAATGATTGATATTCTTGTACTGAACCAGTTATTTATACCGGCAAATAGCACCACGTGTTATCATCCTCGACATGTAGCGTGGGAACCTTGCGCGTTTCTCTCTTTCACACATATGCATACGTGAAACTAAGAATACGCCATATTGTACGTTTTGACAACTACAAAAGAATAACTTCAAGTGTGTTTTGCCAATGCCGACGATTCCTCGCTGTCTGGAATCATTCCCGTGCTTTGACCCTTGTATTCAACCAATCATATCAGAACTATAGTTAACAACAGTCTGTATTTTTACATCCGATTATGTATGAACTTTACTATTTGGCCATACTGTATTGCTCAGTGCGTGAAATGTCATTCGGTGATTCCAGAACCCATTATTGTTTTGACTATCCCTGACACACATTTTCCTATTTTTTGACGAGAGTAAACGGGACTGGAACACACACACTGAGACAGTTGACTATATAGTATTTTTGCTTGCTTACTTACACATTCAATGGAATCGATTCGTAGCCCTGACGCACAAACAAAATAGGAAAACTGTTTTTGTTATTCATCGGCCTGCTTGATATGAAAACGTAGCAGAGAATTAGCACTTAAATTTATGCGTATCTGGATGAGTTTCTCAACTCACCGTACTGTCAGTCAATCGAATTTTCCTCACCAATACTAGATTATATTTCATTATTTCACGGCGGGCTTTTGATCTCGAAAGAGAGAGTATCACTTTTAAACCGATAATGAGGTGTTTTTGCGGTAAACGTCCTATCCATCCCTTGATACAATTATACATATAATCACGGCATTAGAAATATGATAAAATTAGTCGAACGAGTGTTTATTTATTATTATTATTATTATCATTATTAAGTATTTACTATCCAAGGCTCTGCCCCGGTGGATCATCTCTCGTTCACATGCCTCTCTGACTGTTTTGTAAACGCACACACACTGTATTTGTCTACAGTAGTGAATAGCTAAGATGAAGCAACATCGTTCACCGGAGATAGACTGATATATGTTAGACCACCGACAGAACATGGATTCACTTTGATGAATGGTATTATCTAATCTCTTGCAATCTGATTCACATAATGCTGGAGCCAGTGACTCATTTAGAGTCACATCTGCTAGAGATAGTTCAAACTGAGCTCCATGAGAACTGTACATGAAAGCTTAATACGCCATTAGTCTATCGTGTCATGTAATTACAGTATCTTTGCTGATAGTCACACTTATGTCATGGTTTTCGTTGTCCACACAGATAATACATCAAGCCTGCACAATTTGATCTTTCCAACCAATTCTCAACAACTGCCATTCTGGGTTCCACCGCTTGGAAGTGCCGACTGCCCCTGTGGTGAGTGGCGCACGTACTATTTATTGAAAAGCTTACCTGTTCGTATTTGAAATTGAAATGTGAAGTTCGCAGTTAACCTAATTTTAAGTGAGTTCCTCAGCACATAAATGAAGTATTTTTA